CTTCCTCCTCCTCTTCCTTCCTCCTCCTTTTTTTGCCAGCATTTGATGTCATTATTTATTTTAATTTTATATATTTATTTTTATTCCCATTCCTCCCCCCACCCCTTTTGGCAACCTATATACCTCTATATCTCTAGGTCTTTTCTGTTTTGTTTCTTTAATTTTTAATATATTTCACATATATTAAAATCATATGGTATTTGACTTCCTCTGACTTATTTCACTTAATATATTCTCTAGTTCCATCCATGTTGTCACAAATGGCAATATTTAATTCTTTTTATTCCACTGTGCACATGTGCCACATCTTTATCCGCCACCCACTGATGGACATCTAGGTGGCTTCCACATCTCGGCTATTACTAGCTACACTGCAATGAACATGGGGGGAATATATCTTTTAGAATCAGTGTTTTGGGGTGTGGTTTTTTTTTAAATAAATACTCAAGTGAAATTGCGGGATTATACAGCACCTCTAATTTTTAATTTTTAAACAAGTTTTATTTTGATGGAAAAAAAGCAACCGTTAGCAATTGAAAAAGTTATTTCCTTAATAAAATACCACATACCATAAAAGTAATGGGCCTTTTCCCTACACATGAAAGTAAAGGTCTTAGTGGCTGAGACCACACATTATTGGGCCCCAACTTCAGACAGAGAAGAGCACTAAGCAAGGTGCGAAGCCCACACTGGCACAGGGGGTGAGGCACNCCAACTTCAGACAGAGAAGAGCACTAAGCAAGGTGCGAAGCCCACACTGGCACGGGGTAAGGCAGGAATGCGACACACAGCCCCCAACGCGGTGCTTGTTACTCAAGAACAAAGCTTCCCGAAGCATTGCTCCCTGTCTGATTTGTAATTTTATTGAAGAATCTCCACTGTGGCTGAAATAACCTACAATCCCAACGGTGCACAAGGGCTCCCTCTTCCCCGCATCCTCACGAGCACTTGCTGTGGGCTTACTGATGGCAGCCATTCTGACAGGTCTGCGGGGAGACCTCACTGTGGTTTTATGTGCATCTCTCTGATGATTAGTGTCACTGAGCATCTTTCCATATGTCTGTTGGCCATCTGTATGTCCTCTTTGGAGAAACATCTGTCCATGTCCTTTGTTCATTTGTAAACTGAATTGTTTCTCTATTTTTGTGTTAAGTTGGATGAGTTCTGTATGTATGTATATTAGACATTAATCGCTTATTGGATGTTTCAGTGGCGAATATCTTCTCCCATCAGTTCGACTTGGTTCATCGTACGTTCTAACTCCTTGTTGAAGCTCGCCAAGTTCTCCTAGTCCACCGCCAAGTTTCTTAGAATTGTTTATGAGGCAAAGCACTCACACATCTCCGCTTCCTGAGGGTTTCTTCCTGGGAATGTTTCTTGTTCCTTCACCTGAGAGAGACAGTATTCTTCTGTCCTTTCATTTTGTTTGACTTTCTATGTTTGTTTATGTGAATTAGATAAAATAGTTCCCTCTCCCAGTGTTGAAAAAGCAGCCTTCCAGAGAAAGTGGCACCTGTAGGCGGGGTGCGGGTGGTCGGCCCGGCTGGCAGGAGCCCGTGGGGTGCTGAGTGCCCGGGGCACTGGCCTGCCGAGCCGGAGTGGCTGTTGGTGGGGAGGCAGGTGCAGGCGGTAATGTTTTATTGATCCTACTTGCTGCCTTTGTTCAGGGCCAAGGGGGGCTCCAGTGATGTGTCCCAGGACACACTGCAGCGACCTTGCAGGAAGGCCAGAGCACCTGGCCAGAGCCCTCACCCACGCTATGTGGACGTCGAAGGGGATGTAAGCCGTAGCTCACAGGCACCTCTGAACCGGAGAGCCCCCGCAGTCCCAGGACGGCTCCTGTGGCCCCCAGCCTGCTTACAGCCTTTCTCTCGTTTATTGTACAAAAAGTGGATTTGTGTAGAAGCCACCTCTTTCTAGGCTCCATTGCCACGGGGTTTGGAAGCCAGCGGGAGCCAGGCAGGGAGGGCTCCAGCTGCCCGGAGCGTGGGGCTGAGCTGGAGCGGCTCCCTGCAGGGAGGCCAGTGTTCGTGGTGGAGCCCAGTTGTTCCTTTGCTGGCTCCCAGGCGGCAAAGCACCCAGCAGAGCTCCTTGCTGCCCAAAGGCAGCGGAGGGCAGTGTAAACAAGGGCGCTCCCGGCTCCTCTGGCCCAGAGAGTTCCCGCAGCGCTCCCTCGGGCTCCCGGCCTTCTCTACTTGGTCTCTTGCCGTCGTTGGTTGTTCAGAAGCTATTCGTATAGCTCCCGTTGTCTCTCAGGAGTAATTGCTCTCTGTAAATGTGTGTACTTGATTTTTCTCATGGGAGGGGCAAGTTCAGTGTCTGCCTATGTGCTTTCTCCACACAGCTCTCTTGCACCTCTCAACTGTATTTTTCATTTCCAANTGTAAATGTGTGTACTTGATTTTTCTCATGGGAGGGGCAAGTTCAGTGTCCGCCTGTGCTGCTTTCTCCACACAGCTCTCTTGCACCTCTCAACTGCATTTTTCATTTCCAATTTTTTTTTTTTAAAATATGTCTTTATTGATTTCAGAGAGAGGAAGGGAGAGGGAGAGAGATAGAAACATCAATGATGATGCACGCCCCCGACTGGGGATCGAGCCCGCAACCCAGGCCTGTGCCCTGACTGGGAATCCAATCATGATCTCCTGGATCCTCGGTCGATGCTCAACTGCTGAGCCACGCTGGCTGGGCTCATTTCCAATTTTTAAAATTCTTATTCAAATCTGCCTGTTCTTTTTTCTTAGCAACTTACTATATTCTTGTGCTTTGGGTTCCTTCTTTTATTGCTTCAACTCTTTTGAACAAACTTATTTTCTGTATTCTATTAGGTCCTTCTTGTGTCTGAAGTTCTTGGACTTAGTCCTGCCTTTCGTTCCATCTCTTGCCCATGCTGGGTGGTGTCCTGCTGTGCCCTTCAGTTTGGGATCAGACTGTGAAATCGGGTCCAGCATCGCTTTATCCGGGGAATCCTGTAAGCCTCGGCCAGAGGTGGTCTCTTCAGAATGGTCTCCATTTGTTTCTACATGGCTGTCACTGGCTAGGGAGCCTTTTTTTAACTTAAATTATTAAATTTCTCAGCTTTGAGGTTCGTGGATCATGTGAGTAGTATAAATTCAAACCCCAAACATTGTGAGAGCAGGCTTATGGTTACTGATTCTCAAGAATCTTTTATTTGGTTTACTTGGAGTCAGACCAAGATGGATAAGTTTCTTGGGCTTTTCCCTGGGCTGGTGGGCTGATTATGTCCTGATCTATCATTTGTGTGAGCGCTAGCTCTCTGAGGATCCTAGCTCTCCTGGGGGCTTTGGCTCAAGCTGTTTCCTGTGCCAGCCTCACTGTGGGCACGTTCTGCCCAAGCATGGGAACTTCCTGTCCACATGTGGGCACTTCCTGTCCAAGCACTAAAATCCAAGCACCTAACGCACCAGGAACGACAGCCTCCCCCAGAAAAGCAATTCTATCTATCCCCATATCTGGTCAGTTGTAATTTTTTTCTTCATTAAGATCATAGATATCATGCAAATGATGCTTTATTTTAGTAAACATTTCTAGGTGGTAGTAGCCTAGTGTTTTTAGGTTATTACCTCAGCAATGTTGTGAGCCTTGTAAATCTGAGGGTTCTTTTCTAATTTTTCCTCTCCCCAAATAACAGGCCAGCATGGTCTCTTAATCCCTTAAACCACATTATTTCTCACATGAGCTCACTCCTCAGTGACTGGGGCCGGGGCAAAAGAGGCCAAGGTATTGTCTGGACACTGAGAACGAGAGACCCTGATCCAGGTATCTAATTGCTCCCAAGCTCCAGGGACAAACATGTTGCCTGGAACTAATGAAGTGCCCAGGTGGCCTGACGAGCTCCGTGGTGCACAGCAGAGGCAGAAAGAGCCTGGACACTGGGAATGGAGAGGCTCAGGTTCAAGTCCCAGCCTCTCCTCTCATCATCTGTGTGGCCTCAGCAAGCCGCTTACCTTCTACGAGCCCATTCCAGCATCTATAAAATGGTCATCATAATGCTAATTCCTGGGACTGTGGTGCAGCTGATGAGCTTTACATCACTGGTTAAGAGGACAGGCTGAGGGTTAGCAGGCCCGAATTCGAGCCTTGCTTTCCCTTGGGCAAACTCGCCCAGGCTGTTTTCTCCTCTGTACAATGAGTATTTTTGATGCGGACACCTCAAAGGTGGTTGTGGGGAAAGTGGTGGCTATGTACGCTGCTTGGCATCTCCCCGGGGAGAGCGCGCGCTAAGGTGCCACCTGTCGTCATCTTGGCATCGTTGGACTTACGCATTTTCTTGGGCTGCCTCCTCGGCCTTTGAGACCTTCCTGTAGCAGTATATCATCTCAATGAGCAGCCACAAGGTGAGGAAGACCAGGAGGATGTACATCATGATCTCCGAGACGACCGAGGTGAAGTCCTCTCCAGCTGCAAGAGGGAGAACAGGCTCAGAATGGGCAACAAACCGGCCGCCATCGGGCTCAGCTCTGTGGGGCCTGTTTCGAGAACGGCTTAAACGGCGCTGGGGCCGAAGGAACCGAGCACGTCAAAGGAACTGAACACCCGCTGGCCGTCCTGCCAGCTTTCTTCCTGACTCCCACCGACGCTGGAGGGAGGGAGGAGGGAGACCGATGGGTGGGGAAGATGAGCAGCGGGAGGGACCCTGGAACCAGGCGACATGCACATAGCGGGCCCCAATTTGCTACTTACTGGTGTGTGAATAGTCATCTCCCTTATTTGAGACTCAGTTTCTTAATTTGCAAAATGACGAAAATAATTTACATTATCACATTACCCGATGTACTTAAGAATAATTTAAATGTCTATACAGATGTAAGTAATACGTCTTAGTTCGGCCTCTGTCCCCTGAGCTTAGAGTGGAGAGGGGGAGAGCGTCAGGAGCACGGCGGGGCCAGTGCAGTCAGCCGCCCGGTGACGGGGTGCGTCCCCGCGAGGACCTTCCCAGCTCCCACGCCCACAGGAGTGAGGCTGGAGGAGTCCATGTCCTAACCGCGCTGTCCTCAAGGTTCGACTTCTGAGGCACAGCTCGGAGCCTACCATGCCCCTGTTTAAAACCTTTCAGGGTCCCATTCTGCCCTCAGAATAAAGCCCGGTTTCTATTAGTATCGCTTGCAAGGCCATGTGCCATCCAGCCTTTCTCATCCAGCGAAACCTCTCTCCTCATACACATTGTGGTCTTTGGGGCTCTGTGAACATTTCTGCTTCCTCTCCCCTCTTCCTAGATTGATTTCACACCCACTGCTACCTCGTCCCAACATCCCTCCTGCTTTTCAGTCTCCCGGTCATTCTTCTAGACTCCCCGAAGCCCCCTTCTCCCGGAAGCCTCCCTGGGCTTCTCCTCGCTGTCCACACCCTTCCTCCTGTGCTCTCTTCATCCGCCCCTGGCAGCGCTTCTCGGGCCGTATTGTGATGCGTCTCTCTCCTCTCTGCTCACCGTGTGCCTACTGAAAACACGTCTTACTCATTTCTGAACCGGCAGCTGGTTGTCTCGTCCTAGAAGATCCGAAATACTCCGAAAGTATTTGTTGAATGAATGAATATAAATATTGGTTGTCTTTGTTTCATGACCAATAAAAATGAGAATGAAGACATAATACATGGCACATGGCCTGATGCACAGGCCTTCCTAGTGGGAAGGAAGGATGCAGCCGCTTCTGTCCTGGCCAGCTCCTGGTCCTTGCGTATTCCTAGAGCCCCAGTCCCCCTCCAGGCCCTGCCCATTACAAGCACAGTGTGGCCGATCACGACCTGTAGCTCTGAGAAGCAGTCCAAGGGCTCCAGGTTCGTCCAGGTTTCCTAACTGGTGCTAGGGGTCATCGCTGCAGCCTGGGACACAGGAGAACGCCACGTGTCTTCTCCTAGGCTTGCTATGGCCAGTCTCTGATGTGCTCGGCTTAAAGCACCTCTCTTTTTTTAAATGCAGTAGCCCAGAAGTAGCACCACAGGAAGCTGTCCCCATATTGCCAGTTGCCTCCAGGTGAAGGGGCCTCAGATTTCTGCCTTAGAGCTGAGAGGCGAGAGCCTACACCAGGGCGAGTCCCGCATGAACAGAACGCCAGGGAGATCTCTGGGGCCAGGGGTGGGCGGTGGTGCGTGTGCCCTGGCAGCGCGCGTGCCTCTGAGCAGTCGGAGGGAGCAGTGGGTGTCGGGGCTGGAGGAGGGCTGCCGAGGGGCCACAGAGGGAGAGAAAGAAAAAGCGGCAGGAATTAGGATGGTGGTGGAAGGAAAGGATGCCATGGACACAGCTGCCTGATAGGCAAAAGCTCTGGATCGCAGCCCTGCTTCTGGTGCTCGTTGGCTTCGTGTCCTGGGCAAGCCCCTGGCCCTTCCATAGCCCTTCCTCCCAGCCACAGAAAGAGGCACCAGAGCTGCACCCGCCAACTTCCATGCGCCAGATGCACCCCAACCTGTGAGAGTGGTGCAGAGAGAAAGCCCCCTGGGTGATTCTTTGCCTGGAACCTAACAACCCCAGAGGCACTCTGGCTCTGGTAACAAACTGGGTTTCCTTCTATTTTTGCTCAAGCCTTGCTCGGGTGCCTGGCAGGCACTGGCTCAGCTTTGCCATTCTTTCCATTTAGCTGTGGGAGGGTCTCTGGAGGCGAAGGCCTGAGAGAGCAGGAGGTGGAGACAGAGGCCCCTCCCTGGCATCCGGCAGTCACAGGCCTCCTGGTGGTGAATGGTGGAGGGTGCCAGGCTCCCTCCCTGGTGCAACCAGAGTTGGAGGTTGGAGCTTCTGAACAGGAAAGTACTTCAGACAGCTTCCAGTCCAACCCTCCCCTTACACACAAGGCGATGGCTGGGAGTGGAAGTGGCTCATCACATCCAGATTCAAGTGGCCTGAGAGTCTTTCTGACCTTTCAGAATTGACCTACCTTTTCTTCTAGTCACATTGTCTAGATCGTGACACCTGTCTTTCACATTCAAGTTTGCTTCATAAATTTTATCACAAAACATGACAAAAAATAAATGTGCGGCCTGGAAGCTGGACTCCTGGGGTCCTTCTCTAGGGAGAGGCCTACCTTTAATCTGACCTCTTCTTTCTTTCATGCCACACCTTTTGCCTCTTCACCAAACTGCATCTTGGGGTAGCAAGAATGCTAAGAATGTGCTGGAAATTGAGTGTGTGAGAAAGGCTGAGTAAAGTGGAAGCGTCAGTAGCCTGGGTAAGAAAACACAAAGGGAGCCGAGCACACAGCCCTTCTGATAGGTGGAGCACGTTTGCAGGGGCGGGCGCCACAGTTCCGAGGCCATTGAATGCAGAACAAAAACATGCAGGAGAACGTTCCGTGTTCCTGCGACTCCTGGACTTGACTGCAACAGAAACATTGAGTCAGACCTGAGAAAGGACTTCCCGCCCTAACAAGGAATTAGCTCTAGGAAATCTGAAGATTTTACATTAAAACTCGAGAGCTATCAATGTTTCCCCTTCTCTCAACTGGGAATGAGGTTTTGTGATGAGATGCAGGTGCCGCAGATGGGAGAGGGGTTGCTTGCGTGATTCCTGTGCAGGAGGACAGAAGACACTTTGGTTTAGCGCAGTCGTTCTCCAAGTCACGTCCCAGCAGCAGCAGCACCGCCTGGCAGTTTGTTAGACATGCAAGCTCTCAGGTTCCACCCATGGAACCAGGAAGGCCGAGTTTTAAGAAGTCTGCAGGGGATTCGGAGGCTGACTGGAGCTGAGCACTGCTGGTCTGGAGGTATGCATGGCTCACAGGCAGCAGGGCAAGTTTCTCTGAGCCCACTGAGGCAGGGGCCAGCCCAGGCCCGAGAGGAAGGCGGGCTGATTCGGCAGCTTGCGGCTTCTAGGAGATTGTCCCCTTTCTCCTGGAATGAGGGTCGATGACTAGGCAGACGTCACTGTACTATCATCTCCAGGCCTTTCTGCTCTGAGGAAAGGCAGAGGCCAGCTGGCCGGGCAGTTTGCAGGAGGCGGGCCACGAAAGGAAGACAAGTCAGTGGTGATCGTTTTAGAAACCACCACTCCAAAATACATGGGCTTTGCACTCTACAAAGGTCTCATTTGTGTGGAACCCACTGTTCTCCCTCCCCCAAGGGCAAGGGACTCTGGAGACCCTGTGGCCCAGCCTCACCCTCCTCGGTGACTCGGAGGGGGATCAGCCGTGTGGTCTTCACAAAGGGGCGATGTGCCTCAAACTCAAACTCCCGGGACACGTTGCAGGTATAGAGACCGGAGTCGTTCAGGGTGACATTGAGCACAGTGATGGACACGTCCTGCAAGTCCTTGCTCCCGTTCCACTGCAGGCGTCCTTGGAAGGGGCTCTCCACCTCCTGGTGGCCATTCCGGTACTCATAGATCTGCAGGCAGAGACGCAGAGGGTGGGAGAGGGCAGGGCCAAAAGGGAAGATGGGGTAGGGGCGCTGAGGGCAGGAAAAGGAACATGCGTGTGCAGGCACAGGAGGAGAGGGGCCAAGGTTACAGGGGCCAAGGTTACAGGGGCCAAGGTTATAAGGGCCAAGGTTATAAGGGCCAAGGTTACAGGGGCCAAGGTGGGGCGGGATGAGGAGCCTCGGAGGAAGGAGCAGGGAAGATGGGCAAAGACACACAGGTATCAGGACATGTGGACACAGCAAGGTAAGAGAGCAGAGGAAGGTGAGTAGAGCAAAGGCCCCGGCCTCAAGCTTGACACTCCGAGCTCTCCCCCCGGGCAGTCCGGCCAGGCGACTAGCACAGAGTAGGCTTTCAGGGCCGGCTATCTCGTTCGGCCGTCCCCTCTCGTGCCCAGGGGTCCCGCAGCTGCCCGAGTGCCCTTCCTTCCACAGAGGCTCAGGAACCGGGGCTGCCCGGATCTGCTGAGAAGCAGCCAGTGCTTTGAAGACAAAGAGCCGGCGTCTGCGGCATGGGTCACCCTTCCCCGCTCCCGGAGCCAGCGCACACGGAGGCACCCACGGGAAGGCCAGCGCGGGCGGGCGGGCGTACCAGCAAGTCTTTGCCGCCCTCGGGCCTGTAGAACCATTCCACCACCGTGGTGGCCTCCACCTCCTCCCTCTTCATGCAGGAGATGCAGCGCAGCTTCATGGAGTTGCCCTGCACCGCCTCTGTCTCCGAGGGCACTTCCACGCACACAGGGAAGCAGGCGCCGACTGGAAGGGGGGTCAGGCGGGGTTGGGGAGGGGCGCCGGGAGGGAGGCGTTGAGAACAAGGAGGGAGGGAGAAGAGACAGAGAAGGAAGGCCCGTGAGATAAGTCTGAAAATACTTAAGTACCTGTGCTCCCGAGTGTACAGGCTCACAACAGGCAAGGAGGGCATCGAGGGGGCCCGGATGGCCCAGAAGGGGCTGAACGCCTCCCTGGGAGCAGGGGGATGGGATGCAGCACACACCTGAGCCCTGCCCTCGGAGACATCTAACCGAGGTGGGAGACGGGCACAGGAGGTGTGCCCACCCGCTCACCACCCACGCGCCCCTTCATTCAGACACCACCGCCGAGGCCTGCTCTGTGCCAGGCTGACGCTAGGCTGAGATACACTTAGAATCTAGCAGGGAACACACACTCCCAAGTATGGTCAAACCAGACCATGGTGAGGGACACACTAGTGGCTGCTCTGTTCCCAGAGGAGGGGAATTGTTCCTGGTGGGGCTGGGGAGAGCGACAGAGGAGGGTGGCGAGACTTGCGGTAGAAAGGTAGATAGGACCCACTGTGTCCTTCACAATATGAGGGGTCAGACATCTGTGTTTTAAGAAAAATGTCGGTAATTCTCATGCATGGTGGTGACTGGAGCAGCAAGGAGGAAAGGGGTGAGCTGACTGACCACTAGGCCAGGGCAATGCTTTATGCAGAGAAGTACAGAGAGACAAATTTCAAAATGTGGAGAGAGCGCAGACTGAGGGACAATTTGCATATGACACAGAGGTCGGGACTCACAGCTCCTGCCCTCCAGACACTCACGGCCCTGTTAAAAAAGGCAAGGAGATCAGACTGCAAATTCAGAATGAGCCAACAGTGGGATGTGGCTGCCAACAAGGCAAGTGCAAAGGTGGGCCACAGCAACAGAGCCTGATGTGGGAGAGCCAGTTCCGCCGCCCCGCTCAGAGCAGGTCGGAGGGTGAGCATCCGCTCAGGGCGTCAGATTCTACAGAAAGCAGCCGTCCAGTAAGGGCACGCCCTGGGGAGCAAGGGGGGGAGGCCTGGGCTCCACTCTGGTGAGGAGCTCCTCAGGACTAGGTCTGTGGGAAATGAAACTGATTCTGTCTAAAAGTGACAAGAAATTAAGTTTCGCTCATTTAAAAAAGGATTTTCTGGTGCTGAAGCTGTTCGCAAAGGAAAAACACTCTTTGGTAAGAGAGTGTGCACTCGCTCATGTAGGACGCAAAAGTGAGGTGACCGCCGAGGTTCATGCATCAGGACCGCTAAGGCCCCTCTGGTGCTAGCGTTTCATGAGTTAATAATAAAAACAGAACTAAAAACATGGCTTGTCTGCTCCTTTACTGGCAGACAGTTATTTCTAAAAGCAGAGGGAAGCTTTACTTAGAGCTTAAAATGAGACTGACCAATTAATTTTGAGTAAAAAATGAAATTTTATATTTGACTGACTTAGAAGGCAACAAGTTTCATTTTTAAACACAGACTCTAAAAACTAGTGGCACTAATGCAAACTTTCACATATTAAGGAAAAATAAACTTCACTGGTTTCAAACTCTCGGGCAAGCAGGGCTGGTCTTGTCGGGAAGTCTGCAGGAGGGCCGCCTGCTTCTGGGACAGATCACCACTTTCACGGGCACATGGTCTGTGGTGAGTCTGGAGCCTTGAGTACCGGCCTGGCTGAACAGAGAACGGGAGGAAAAGGAGCTGTGGTAGAGAGAAGCTGGTTCAGCCAGGATGGCTTCCAAAGCAGAATGGAAAATGTTCCAAGGTTGGTACAGTCACAGGCGTCGAGGCAGGATGAAGGTGGCATTTGGCAGCTGAAGGCCTGGCTTTGATTTACTCTTTAACCTCTCTGAGACCCATCTATTCACCACCAAAAATGCTGAAAATAACATTTATCAAATAGATTTGCCATGAAAATTCCATGGAATAATTTATGCAGGTGCGCTTTACACAAATGCCACTTGCTGATGCTATTTTAAAAACCCTTCATTTCTAGGCTCGCTGTTCAGCTTGCTGGGGGCCAGGCACCAAGTACAACAGGGAGCGACACAGAGGCCATCTCTGCTTTCATGGCGCCTGCACTAGGGGGGAGAGAGAGAAAATAAGCAACTTTAAACTGCAATGAGTGCTATGAGACAAAATGAAACAGAATGGAGGAGACAGGGAGGGCGTAAGATGACTGGAGACAGCCTCCCCGAGACAGGGACAGCAAGCAGGTGCCGCAGGGAAGGACTGGGGAGCAGTTGTGTGACTGTGTGAAGTGTGCCAGACACAGGAAACAGCAACTCAAGGGGCCTAGCGGGGGAGTGTGTCTGCTGGAAGCAAAGAGCATGATAAAGTCCAGGAAACAAAGTGAGACTAGAGGAGACGGGCAGGAGAGAGAGGCCAGGGCCAGAGCGGGCTGGTCTTGTCAGCCTTGATTGGAGCTTCGGCTTTTGCTTAGAGGGACATGGGGAGCTCTGGAGGGTTCAGAGTGGGAGAATGACATGATCTGATTTATATAAAATTGCATGACATGACTGGCTACGTTGAGAATAAACTAAAGAGGTGAGGAAGCGTCAGGGTAGGAGCAAAAATAACAGCTCAGAGGCTGGTACGTGATCAGAGAGAGCTGGTCAGTGGTTTTGCTTGGATGAGGTGGTAGAGAAGCTGTTGGAGTTTGAAAGGGAATAATTTGCTGGATTAACATCCTTGAATAGATGAGAGGTGATGTGCTCTAATAAAGGAGTAGATCAGTTGGTCTTAAATAGGAGCACAGTTCATTCATTTATAGTCCAAGGAGGAAGGGCAGAATATATGCCATCAGGCTGGTGAATGTGGAATGGCGGCCTCTCTTTTTCCTGAGTTACCCCTGAGATGACAATAACCCAAGGTACCGGCAGAGAGCAGGCCCCACTGATTCCCTCCTCCTAGCCCAAGTCCTGTTTCAAGGCACAGAAACTCTCCTTGTGAGGTCCCGGATAGTATGCTGCAAAGTGGCCTCAGAGTCCTCTCACCCGGGTTGCTTGCCCTTTGCACTGTGACTGGCTGCTCCTTCCATCAAGAGGTGGTCTGGTTCTCCACCCCATGCGTCTCCACACACCGCTGCTCCTGTTTCTTTGAAATCCTCTAGATACTCTAGATATCCAAGAAAAGCCTGCACGTGGTACAGTGTAGAAATGGTAGGTGTTCAACCCACATTGCTGACTATAAATAATAAAGTCCTGGAATAATCTGGATACGTCACTTCACCTTTGGTCTCCTTTCCACTTTCCACAGTAATAATGAGGAAATTTATGAGAAGGGAGAATATGACATATTAATGTGATTATATTTAACTAAGGAATAGCATCAACTTATGGTGAGGTGGTTAGTAATGCATAGTGAACAAACTCCTCTAATATGCCCAGATCGTCTTCTTATTTGGGCATCGCTGTCTTGCTCCTCCAGAGCTTTCCCTAGAATGCTTTCCTTCGCATTAAGATAATAAATACTTGATTGGAATGTAACTACTTCCCCCAAAGAGTAATGAATGAAGTTATGTGCAGATATTAGTACCCTGTAATGACTTGGTCTATCAGATTAGCCAGTCACTTAGCAGAGCTTTGAAAAGACAGGATGCAAGAAGGGCCACTGGGGAAGAGAGGAAAACACTCCCCCACAGTGGACATCTGGACCGTAGACCTGCAGAGGGAGAGTAGAGAAGGTGCTAGAAGCTGAAGGATGAGTGAGGCCCTAGGAAAGGCAATGGCACCCTGACCAGGTAGCTCAGTTGGCTGGAGCATTGCCCCGATATGCCAAGGTTGTGGGTTTGATCCCCAGTCAGGGCACATACAAGAATCAACCAATGAATGCATAAATAAATGGACCAACAAGTCTATATTTTTCTCTCTTTCTCTCTCTCCCCCTTCCCTCTCTCTCTAATTTTTTTGTGTGTTTTGTTTTGTTTTGTTTTTAAAGAAAATGCAATTGCATGGGGGAGGGAAGGAAGAAAGGGTGGCTCAGAGAAGAGATGAGAGGGTAGGTGTCCACCTGGCAATCCTGCAGAGCAGCAATGTGTTCATAAGAAGTGCTAGAACAAACACTGGGAGAATCAAATCCAAGACCAGGGTTCTCTAGGAAGCCCTGTTCCCTTCCTGAGTGCCTTTTCTCACCTTTAAATTGGAGATACTACTTCTCCTGACTACCCCATAGGATCGATATGGGGGCCAAAAGAAGTAATGGATTGAACAGTAACAGAGCTTTGTAAACTATAAAGCCCCAGACAAGTGTAGGGTTTTCATCAGTTATTGTTATTACTTATTAGTAGTATATGCATTATTAAAGGAAATAAGGGAACCTTTTTCAATATGTGCAGAAAGTAAAAGAATGGAAAAGATTATTTGTACTCATATTTGCATCATGTGAAAAGTCACCTTGGGAAGGGAGGGTGCATCTAAGGTAAGAACTTTCCAATACTGAAATTCATGCAAATAAAATGAAGTTTCTTTTGTGAAGCCAGGCCCTTTCTCTTACATGTAGTGACCAAGATTCCTGAAGCACCCCTCTTTTGTTTCTGCATCTTTCCAGTTTGGTGAACCAATGTTCAGATTATGAATAAGCTGAGAAACAGCAAGGATGGGTGAAACATGCACGCTTCTTCCACAGGTTATTTTGGGGCGAATGAGGGTGAGGAGAGGAATGGACACCCTGCCAATTTTAGTAATGTCCTGTAAATATTTCCCTACCATTCATGTGGAGCTGAAAGGTATGTCAGATGTCATCAGCACCGACTTCCAAACTTTACAAATGAGGAACCAGGTTGTTACATAGCAAGCTAGCAGCAGAGCTAAGACTCCAGTCTAAACCTTTCAAGTCTTAATCAAAAGGTCTTTGGTCTATAGAATGCTTTCCCCATCCACTGGGTTTCAGGCAGGGACCCTAAAACTTATATTCGAAGTTGGGAAGAAAGGCTTTACAGAATATCACCCCAACCCTTCTCTACAACTTCATTTCCCATGTCCCTAGTCTAGCCTCCCCTGAGAAAATCCCAGCTTTAAATCTCCAAGGCAGGTGAGATCCTTGGCAACCTATTGTGTCTGCTTCATCTCCAGGTCTAGTGCCCTCTACTGGGGCTGGATGGCAGAGCCTGTCCTTGGGACTGGCATTCCTTGGGACTGCCACTGCTCCCCCTCCTCTTTCTTCCCAGACTGTCTCATCAGGCATTTTGTTCAACAGGAAGCTCGGCTCGGCTCTGTGTCTATGGTCACATGAAAAACCCAGATAATGCCGGCAGTCAGAGTTCATCTCAGAGGTTTAATAAAGTGATACCAAGGCAAAGAGGGAAGTCCCATTAGCATATCTGCCACTGCACAGTCACAGGGAGTTTCATGCCAACCATGGGAGCATAATTCCACATGCCTAGTGTCAATAAGGCAGACTGGCACAATCACTTCTAATTATACTTATTAATTTTTAGCATGGAAGAAGGTAACTAAGATCATATACAAGCAATATATCAACTGAAAAACACCTCTTTTCCCCCTGAGGATCTCATTAGAGAACCAAGGCAGAGATACCCAGAACTACACAACTCTTTACACACACACAGACACACGCACACCCCAGTGTCCTCACCAATCCATTCAGATGTCCATCCTAAGATGCTCAGACACACACTAGGGCGCACATTCAGCCACTGAGGCATACGCTGATACACAGCAAAGTATTCTCTCAACTGCACACTCAGGTAGTATCACGGAGCCTCATTGACCCCCGCTACTCGCATCAGGCACCCCATTCCGAGTCCCTGCCTCATCTCACTCAGCTCAGCCTCACTGTGGCAAGTGCAGGATGCCCTTATTTGGAGGGAGAAAGTCATCTCAGGCCCTCACAGCACCAAGCAAGCGAGTACTCATCACTGGAAGCAAAAGCCCAGCTCCCCAAACACCATGGTCATGAAAAAAAGAAAGATGCAGTTCTCAGGTGCCAATTTATTTAACACATCGCAGCCAATGACTGAAGCCTGCCCCCC